TCTTGAAAAGCCCAGAGATCCAAAGAGCTCTACGAGTACCACACAAGAAGATTCACTGTAGGGTCCTGAAGAAGAATCCACTGAAAAACCTGAGAATCATGTTGAAGCTAAACCCATATGCAAAGACCATGCGCCGGAATACCATTCTTCGCCAGGCCAGGAATCACAAACTTCGGGTGGATAAGGCACCTGCAGCAGTACGGGCCAAATCAGATGAGAAGGGGGTTGCAGGCAAAAAGCCTGTAGTAGTGAAGAAAGGAAAAAAGCTGGTTGGTGTTAAGAAGCAGAAGAAGCCTTTGGTGGGAAAAAAGGCTGCCTCTACCAAGAAACCTGCAGCTGAAAAGAAGCCAACAGCTGAAAAGAAACCAGCAGAAAAGAAACCTACCACAGAAGAAAAGAAGCCTACTGCATAAACTCTTAAATTTGTTTAATCCGTAAAGGTCAAATCATTTTGGACAGCTTATTTTGAGTAAAGACCTGATCAAAGAAGCAGTGAAAAAAAAAATAAGAATTTATGAATGGTGTTGCAATAAATATCATCCTACATATAGATTTTATTTTGGATTAGAGTGCCAGGAAATATTTCCGTAAGTAGAATTACTGAGCCAAAAGGTAAGATATCATTACCCAAATTCTTTGAAATGTGTAAATTATACCACTATCACCAGCATAATTTGCGAGTTTTATGACATCTTCTTTTCATGGGGCATTATCAATTGAGAAATTCTGTTAATAGGTTGATTAAAAAAATATTATACTTGAGAGGTTACACCATGCCAGACATTATGCTAAGAAAGATAAATGGTACATCCTTATGGTGTTCAAATTAATATTTTTGATTACTTGTAATATTTGGACTTTTTAGGTTTTTTTAAAGAGACAAGTTCTCACTATATTGCCCAGGCTGGAGAAGAGTAGTTATTCAGAGGCTCAATCATCGCACACTACAGCCTGCAACTCCTGGGCTAAAGCTATCCTCCTGTCTCAGCCTCCTGAATTTTGGATGTTTTGTATGCGTGTGTTTAGCTAGCTATGTTTCTCCACTGTCTTTGTTTATTGTTTATTTATCTATTGAAGTATTCTTACTAATTAACATCTGCTTTATTTCATAAAGGATTTCAGCTAGATTACTAGGGTCTTAACATTTTAAATCACTTTTATGACCTTTATGTAATAAAAGCTTTATGTTTGTGCATGTTTTTATATCATCAGTAACTCTTATGATAGATTAGACAAGTTATTTACTAAGTACCTACCGCGTGCCACAGTTTTAGATGTCGGGAAACTTAGTGATGAATACTTGCAATCAAAGAATTTATATTCTAGGGAGGGGAGACACTCAATAAAAATGAAAACAAGCACATAGATAACTTTAAATTCTAACAATGGTTATGAAGACATTACGATAGAATAGACAAAATGAGGGAGTGACTTTGGTTAGAATTAAGAGGGAAATCCTTTATGAGAAGATGAGAGATGAATGATTAGAAGGCAGCCATGTTTAACACTGGGGAAAGGGCTTTTCAAACAGGAGGAATAGAAAGTGCCAAGATACAGGAACCACTATAGGCTTGGTGTGTTTAATAAACCCCAAAACCAATGTGGCTGAAGTGTAGAGTGGAGTGAGGAGAAGCTGAAGAGGTAGGCAGGGGCCAGATTGTGAAGGGTTTTGAAGGGCATGGAAAGGCTTTTGGATTTTATTCTAGTAATAATAGGAAGCCCTTAGAGCTGAGGTCCCCGACCTTTTGGGCACCAGGGACCTGCTTCATGGAAGACAATTTTTCCACAGATGAATTGGGGTAGGGGGGAGTGGTCCCTAACTGGGGGTTGAGGACCACAGCCTTAGAGCATTTTAAGCAGTGAGGAGGGAGCGTGGCACAGATTCATGCTGTTTGAAGATCTCTCTGACTGCTATATGAAGAAGAGACCATACATCGTAAGTAGGGGCAGGGAGGTCAATTATATGGCTGTAGGGAAACCAGGCAAGAGACCATGATGGATGGAGCAGAATTGAAGAAATGGAGATGGTGAGAAATGGACAGATTTGAATACATTTTGATGCCTTGCTGATGAATCCATTAATATAAGATAGAAAAAATTAGCCGGGCATGGTGGCACCATGCGTAGTCCCAGCTTAACTCGGGACGCTGAAGGCAGCAGGATCACCTTGAGCCCAGGAGTTGAGGTTGCTGTGAGCTAGGCTGACACGCACGGCACTCACTCTAGCCTGGGCAACAAGTGAAGACTCTGTCCAAAAAAAAATTAAAAGAAAAAAAAAATGCGGAAGCAGGGTGGAAAGTTAAAAAATGAGTTTAGCTTTTTAGAAACATGAAGTGATACTCCTTTTTGCCACAGTCATTTTTTGGTTAATTTTATTCAGAGTTTGGGATTATTTTACCAGATGAAATGGCCCATCGGGTTTCTCAACATAAGACCAATAATTTCTTTTTTTTTTTTTTTTTTTTTTTTTTTTTTGAGACAGAAGTCTCACTTTGTTGCCCAAGGCTAGAGTGAGTGGCCGTGGCGTCAGCCTAGCTCACAGCAACCCAAAACTCCTGGGCTCAAGCGATTCCTTCCTGCTCAGCCCTCCCGAGTAGGCTGGGACTACAAGGCATGCGGCCACCGAGCCCGGCTAATTTTTTATATAGTATTATCAAGTGCCAATTAATTTCTTTCTACTTTATAGTAGCAGACGGGGTCTCGCTCTTGCTGCAGGCTGGTTTTGAACTCCTGACCTGAGCAATCCGCCCTGCCTCTACCTCGTGAGGCCACCACGCCCAGCCACGTTTGGTGTTGTTTAAATGAACCCCAAAACCAATGGTGGCTGAAGTTTAGAGTGGGAGTGAGGAGAAGCTAAGAGGTAGGCAGGTGCCAGATGTGAAGGGTTTTGAAGCGGCATGGAACAGGCTTTGGATTTTTTTATTCTAGTAAAACAGGCAAAGCCTTTAGAGAGCCCGATGTCCCCGACCTTTTTGACCAGGGACCTGCTTCATGGAAGACAATTTTTTCCACAGACGGATTGGGGTGGGGCAGTGGTCCCTAAACTTGGGGGTTGAGGACCACAGCCTTAGACCATTTTAAGCAGTGAGGAGGGAGCGTTGGCACAGATTCATGCTGCTTGAAGATCTCTCTGACTGCTATATGAAGAAAGAAGACCATACATTCATAAGTAGGGGCAGGGAGGTCAATTATATGGCTGTACGGGAAAACCAGCCCAAGATGACCATGATTGGATGGAGCAGAATTGAAGAATGGAGGGATGGTGAGAAATGGACAGATTTGAATACATTTGATGGCCGTTGCCTGATGAATCCACATAATTTCAGAGATTCTACATTCTGTACATCTGGGGGAGGATATTTAAGATGCAATTATACAGCATCCCAAGTAGTTTGATGGAGTATTTTCTTGAGAAAATTTCAGTTTTAACGGGACTGAAAACACGCCTGTAATCCTAGCACTTTGGAGGCCAAGGCGGCGTGGATAGCTCAAGGTCAGGACTCGAAAACCAGCTGAGCGAGGACCCCGTCATCTAACAAAAATAGAAAGAAATAATTGACCACAAATATATATACAAAAATTAGCTGAGCGATCGGTGGCGCATCCTGTAGTCCCAGCTACTCGGCGAGGCTGAGGCAAGTTAGATCGCGTGGCCCCGGAGATTGGAGGTTTGCTGTGAAGCCAGGCTGACCCACGGCACTCACTACTAGCCTGGGCAACAAAGGTGAAAGACGTCCTGTCTCAAAAAAACAAAAAAGAAAAAAAAAACAAAAACACCAAGCTTATAGTGGTTCCTGTATCTTGGCACTTTCTATTCCTCCTGGTTTGAAAAGCTCTTTCCCCAGTGTTAAAACATGGCTGCTTCTAATCATTCATCTCTCATCTTATAAAGGATCCCTCTTAATTCTAGCCAAAGTCACTCCCTCATTTTGTCTATTTTCTATCGTAATTTCTCATAACCATTGTTAAATTTAAAGTTATCTATGCTGCTTGTTTTCATTTTTATTGAGGGTCTCCCCTTCCCTAGAATATAAAATTCTTTGATTGCAGGTATTCAATCATAAGTTTCCCGACATTCAAAAACTGTGGCACGCGGTTAGGTACTTAGTAAATACACTTGGTCTAATCTATGCATAAGAAGTTACTGATGGTATAAAAACATGCACAAACATAATGCTTTTATTACATAAAGGTTTCATAAAGTGATTTAAAATGTTGAAAGACCCTATAATCTAACGAAAATTCTTTATTGAAACAAAGCAGATGTTACATTTAGTAAGAATACTTCAATAGATAAAAAACAATAAACAAAGACAGTGCGAGTATCTATCTCGCTATGCTAAACACATCGCATACAAAAACATCCAATAATTTCATGGAGCTGGAGACAGGAGATATGCTTGTAGACCCATGGAGTCAGGCTGTAGTGTCGATCGATTGAGCCCTGAATTAAACTACTCTTCTCCAGCCTGGGGCAATATAGTGAGAACTTGTCTCTTTAAACCTAAAAAAGTCCAAAATATTAACAAGGAATCAAAATATTAATTTGAACACCATAAGGATGTACCATTTATCTTTCTTAGCATTAATTGTTTCGGCATGGTGTAACTCTCAAGAAATATTTTTTTAATCAACCTATTAACAGAATTTCTCAATTGATAATGCCCCATGAAAAGAAGATGTGAAAAACTCGCCCATATGCTGCGCGTGATAGTTGGTATAATTTTACACATTTCAAAAAATTTGGGTTAATGATCATCTTACCTTTCTGGCTCAGTAATTCTTACTTACGGAAGTATTCCTGGCACTCTAATCAAAATAAATCTATATGGGTGGGATTATTTTATTGCAACACCATTCATACATTTTTTTTTCCAACTGCTTCTTTGATCAGGCTTTACTCAAAATAATGCTGTCCAAAATGATTTGACCTTTACGGATTTAAAACAAATTAAGAGTTTATGCAGTAGGCTTCTTTTTCTTCTTGTTGGTATGGTCTTTTCTGCTGTTTCTTTTTTAGCTGTTGGCTTCTTTTCAGCTGCAGGTTTCTTGGTGGATGGCAGCTTTTTTCCCACCCAAAGCTTCTCGCTTCTTAACACCAAACCCCCCAAAAGGGGGCTTTTTCCTTTTCTCTATCTACTACACTTTTTGCCTGAACCTTCTCATCTGATTTGGCCGTACTGCTGCAGATCTCTCCCC